TTGCAGGAGACACATGCTGTAGAAGGAAGAAGGGAGGGAAAAGAAAGAAAATGAAATGAGATGAAGGACTGGGGGAATGGTATGAATGAATTAAAGAAAGGATCACTCTAAAATTAAATTCAGCCAATCTATTACCACCACTTAAATAAATGCATGGTTGCAAGTTAAAAATTCTAAATTATTGATTTAATTAAATCTTTTATGGTGTAAACATTATTTTGATAAATTCTAGTAAAATAAGCTGTTCACTTTGAATGAATAGTTAATCCAAAAATGCAGAATGTAAATGAGTTTGTTTCTTTATCAAAACAGACTTGGAGGAAATTAACATTATATAATTTGCTCTCCAATGGATCCTCTGCAGTGAATGGGTGCCGTCAGAATGAGAGTCCAAACAGCTGATTAAAAAAAAAAATCACAATAATCTACAAGTAATCCACACCACTCCAGTTCATCAATTAAAGTCTTAAGTGAAAAGCTGTGTGTTTGTGATTAACACACATAATGGATTACTTGTGGATTAATGTGATGTTTTTATCAACTATTTGGACTGTCATTCTGACGGCACCCATTCACTGCAGAGGGTACATTGGTGAGCAATTGATGTATTGCTAAATTTCTTAGGAGACAAAGAAAGAAAATGAATTCACTCCACAAATCAAAATCCCGTCATCTCTTCTCCAGAGAAGATGTTATAAATGAAATGGGGTGATCCGGGTGAATGAGGGTGGTGGGTGAGCAGGTGGGATTGATCTACACGGGTCTCAGTGGGCAGCAGCAGACAGTAGGACGGCTTTCCTGACAGCATACAGCTGTTACTCTTAATTGCCTCCCGTTATGCGTGTGGGGTTAATTAAACCAGTTTGGGTGAAAAATAAGACATGCATTTCCTAACAAAGGACATTAGGTTAAACCCTACACATCTCCACAGCAGAAAACGCTGAATGTTTGCCTGTATTAGCTCAGAATTTAGCGTCTCATTTAACTAGCGAGCACTCATTAGCCCTGCAACAAAGCTAGATTGGATTGTTTGTTCATTTCATTTTTGCTCGCCTCCATTTATGTTCTAAAAACAAAAAGCTTGCATTTTCTAGTCAAGCACATGCTGTTTTCAAATAAATGAGCCATTTTCTTTCTCAGCCTGAGTTTGGTGAAGCTAACGGCTGTGTGTTTGGGTCAATTCCAAGTCCCTCGTTGCTATCAGAGTCGTCAGGTACTGAAAGTCGTCTTATAATAATGACCGCGTTGTACAGTCAGTCATTTCTAGGCTACATAGATTCATAATATTAGCAGCACAGTCAGTGTCTGTGTGTGTACTAGCTTTAATCACCTGTGCCTCGTTGTGCGCAGCATACACACCTTAGCTCATTAAAATGATGGATCAAGCCAGAGGGGAAGCTCTCGGTTGCTCCAGATTTGTTCTCGTTTAAAAGGTGTTTAATAGGGGAACACCTGTGGGGAACTGCTCTCGTTTTCTGACAGCAACCAAGACGCCTGGCAGATGCACAGGAGAAGGCATGCGTTTGACATTTTACTTTCTGTATGTCCCAATATTTGTCTGTGGATTTTCAAATGGAGCATGTATATAGTTGTCATTGTGCAGTGGCTCTCTATAAAGGTTGCACTGCAAACTATACCTTCACAAAATTGACTTGTCGGCGGGTTACCTACATGACTAATAGGCCTGATATAATGAGGCTGGTTTTGGGTTCTGATCAGACACATTTATTAAGGGACCTTTGTTCGTATGTTTCAAAAAGTAGATGGGATGCAACAAAATAGGGAACACAGGGCCTCTGTTCAGTGAGAACAATGCTCAATGCAAATACTAAAATTAATCTAACCATGTGTGGTTTTGTATAGTTAGAATAGTAAAATAAATAGGCACATAGCAATATTTAGTTTAGTTAGAGAAAATGCTTCTCATATCAACTGTGTATGGTATTTTTTTCACAAATTAGTCTAATATGGCTACAACAAATTATATAGTGTTTTATGGCTAGTATAATATTTTATGGCTAATATTAAGTGTTTGTTCTTGGGTGGTAAATCACACATATGCTGTTTATGCATTGTTCATTTTCTTAGTCAATATTTGACTATTAGTTGTTAATATTTTTGCATGTTTTCGGCCCTATGAAATTTATTCACTGATGAAGGCATGTACGCTGTGTTGTGCTGTGTTGCATAATGAAAAAGTAAAAAATAATAAATGTATTGCAATAGTGAAAACGTTTGATTTTTAAGGACATATTAGCTACTTTTTACTTGATCTCCAGTGTAAAAACCTCAGTCTCAAAACTAGCTAAGAAACACTGCTATTGTCTGATATTTGCATTTAAAAAAAAAGAAATGGAAATTTATACTAGTAGCCTAATATTTAAATCCTGATAAAACTACTTCAAATTGTTTTCAGTTTTCTGGGATCTAAGAATGAGTGAGTGCATAGTGTATTTTGGTAATTACTTAGCATTAGGGCTGTCAAAACTTTTTTCGAATATTCGTCGAATTTAAAATAAAAATCCACACAAATTTGAGGTGTGCGTTAAGGAGGCATCCTTATCAGTGGTGCACGAGATGCGATGATGAAGTAAGTGTCATTGCATTATAATGTTTTTGTTAGCCTATCCAGTTGAAGCCACTAGATGCGGCGCTGCGGCGTTGTTCATTAAAAATATTGTGGAAAAAGAGAACATCAATGCGGAGAAGATCTTGTTTACATCAAAACTGAAACCAAGCCGTTCACACAGAACACATATTTCGCGCATTTTCTAGAGGGACATCTATCAGCGTTGCACATGAAGCTGTTTTGTTTATAGTTGTTTAAGCAACTTAATTGTAATTGGTTTAAAAACATTATTTTAAACAAAATGCACTTTTTTTTCACAGATAGTCGTTATCTTATGCTTTGAATAAACGTGCATTAGTAATATTTTGCTCTATGCGCCCTCTTGTGGCCTCAGAAGAGAAGCCAAAGGCTATTCTTCACCATAGCTGAAATTATGCATTTTAAATTCGAATATAATTCGAATTTTGATAATATTCAAGTACAAAATTCGAATTTAGTTTTTCAGCCATTTTGACAGCCCTACTTAGCATAGTCATATACTTCTATTTACCATCAGTACTTCAAACAAACCTAATTAAATTACTATTTGGAGTTTTTAGGCACTATATAAAAAGGCAAGAAGGCTCTAATGGATTGAACATTTCAATATATGGGTGCAGTGTCCAATACATAGTACAATACACAGTGTTCTAATGGGATTTTATTAAAGATAAATAATAAAAAAAGAGAACTAGCCACAACTGACTTTCTTGAGGTACAGTTATCCATGTGGTAAGGTTGGTTTTTTCTTTCTTTTTTTTTTAGGGTCAGGTTTGTGTCCTAGGTCAGTGTTTCTCAACCAGGGGTCCGTGGACCCCTAGTGGTCCTTGACATAAGGCCAGGGGGTCCGTATAAAGTATAAATTTTTGTATATTTTGACATGACATGTTCCCATGAAAGAAAAATCCAATATAGCTGATGATATGGCCAAATACTGGACAAGTCAGCTAACTTGAATTATACTTGACTGCATTTGGTCCTCACAAAGACACAAATGATATGAGTCAATTTTGTTCTGGGGGTCCTTGAGGATGGTTCTGAATTGGACTGGGGTCCGGTACGCCAAAAGGTTGAGATTCACTGTCCTAGGTGATGGGTTCAAGTGTCACAAAATGTATCATAGTGAATTAATCACAAAACAAGCCGGTCAGTTTCAGTATTTTGATTTTATTTTTTTTCTTCATTTTTTATATGCTTTTTTGTTTTAAGAAACAAATGCTTGCAGATGTCAAATGAATTAACACGCACATCCTCACCTCTTTTAGATCGTGACCAACACAGCCAACCCATGAGAGCCGGGTCCTCGGCCAGCCAATCACGAACACCCCAGATTCTCAAACCGACACCCACTTCCTGTTAAGTGCATATGTGAATCGAAAAATGTTTTCTTTTTTAATAACGAAAGTGCACAGGTGGAGCAATACTTTCGTAAACACAACATCCCTGCATTAATTCCTGTATATTTCATTTTTGCAGGATGTCTGGAGCTGGAATGAGAATCTGGAAAAGACACCGAAGGTAAGGATGCAGGGATTTGTTTCCATTCATTCACTCGTTTGTAAACAGCTTATTCTTTTTTCTTTTCTCATAACCCTACATCAACAGGTTTAACAAGGCCTTTTGTCGTACCGTCCGCGCTCCCCTCGCGTAAGACAAAAAGGTTAATCAATAACATGGTTCAAAATAAAGTTTAGTGATTGTGCTTTTAAAACCAAAGTCAAACATAGAACAACAAACATCGACAATGACAAAAAAGAATAACAGTGCATTACAAAAAACGAACAAACAATAACTCTCAAAATGTGGCACTTTTCCTGGGGCAGTTTAAACACTATGACAATTTACAACCAGGATGGCGGCTATAAAAAAAATTATATTAACTGGCGTAATTTTAAAATTATTCAAATAAGCCAAGGAAGACAAATTTAATGTACCACAATGGATTATAAAAGACAGTTAGATGTGTATACACGTGTATGTACATGTCAGCCAGTCCCTTTGTGCCTGGAGTTTCATTAGACTGACAACCTTCTCGCCAAGGTGAACAAAGCCATAATCGTTTTCAGGAGCTAACGGACGCATCATATTGCATTGGAATCAAAACAAAACTGCTTTAGCCCCTCTCAAATGCACCCTTCGTTTTTTTGTTTTCTTCTGTCTTTTTTCTTCTTTAAATGCACATTGAAAATTAAGGTAAATAAATGAAGAATGGTTGGTCAGTTTTCCAAACGTGACTCTGGGTCGGTAGTTTTCAGTAAAAGATACCGCCGAGATGGTCAAACTGCGCTGAAGATGGTTGCTGAGGAACTTTAGACAGCCATTTTTTTTTAATATCTTCAGCTGTCCATCATCTGAAAAGAAAAGATTGAAGAATTATAGCAAACATTGCCGAGATGGTCAAACTGCGCTGAAGATGGTTGCTGAGGAACTTTAGACAGCCATTTTTTTTTATATCTTCAGCTGTCCATCATCTGAAAAGAAAAGATTGAAGAATTATAGCAAACATCATACAAGGAAACCATAAATATTTTCCATCCAAAGAGCACAGTATTGTTATTTTACTTATTTCCATACTATTATAGTATTAGTTTTGAATTTGCTTTTATCTTTATATATCCATTTTTCCTTTTTTTCAGTTTTTGTAATGTTTTAGAATTTTGTCAGTTCTTTTTTTTATATTTAAATTTATCTTTTTTATTTCAGTTTAAATTTTTTTGTCAAACATTTCCAGTTTTTTTTTTTTTTATATATAGATTTTTTTTATTTCAGTAAGTTGCAAAAGCAACATTTCTAATTTCAATTAAAGTGTTTCCATCTAATTAGATTTTTTTTGTTAATGTTTATTTCAGTTACATTTTTTGTCATTTAATTACAGAAATGAGAATTGTTGCTTTGGCAACAAACTAAAATAAGATAGTTTAAAATAAGTTTTTCGTATAATATTTATGTTTCAGATTTATTTAAATCACGAAATAATAATAATAGTTTAAATTAACAACACTAGTCACAGGTACTCTGGTTTGTATCTTGTCCAATATATAAATATGGTTGACCAAAGATTGCTATTGACCAATCAGAATCATGTATTCCTTCCATTTCCGGGTATCTTAGAAGTGAGGACGCACCTCAAGCTCCTCCCCTCCTGTCTGGAAGGCTCCTATGGTGTTTAGCCCAACATCTGCAGGGTTTCTGCGGGCTCCCGGAGCCCCTTCACCTCTCCGTCGTCCACCGGACCCTCGAGAGGACAGTGAACTGGAGGAGCTGGGGTCTCTTTCTCCACGAGGACTGTGGACAGCTGGGAAAGATGGGCGACTGTAAGGTAGGATGTCCTCTGATCCTGAAAGAGACATGAAGATGACAGGTAAGTGACTTGAGCATTATTTACCATAGTATTTAACATCAGAAAACAGGACTGTAGCGCAGTACCTGGGTGCTGGCGGCTCTTATGGCTTGCACCGGCATCTTGTTTGCTGCTTTTCCCCGTCCTCTGACCCTTCTGTACATCCTGGCCCTCCCGCCGTTCCGAAGAGCTGGTCCGGGTGTCCGAGCCATCCCGGGGTCTGGGTCCGCCCGAACCCGTCCGCTTGTCCTTGCCATCAGCAGAACTGGATCTGGGCGACATGGCCCCCCGTGGGCCCTCCGGGATGGTTTTGGCCGGGTGTGTTGGAGACTTCAGCATAGCCGGAGGAGGAATCGGAGGAGGGGGGAGATCTGTGAGAAAACAAAATGAAAAGCATTTATTTTGTGTGAATATTTGATATGTTTGACATTATAGCTTGCCATCCACCTTATTTTTAACACAAGACAGATGTGACAATTTGTAACTTGAATGTGAAGAGATATCCACTTCCAGAGACTTTTTTTTTTTTTTGAAATTTTTGGCTGTTATTGCAAA